TGGTATGTGGGGATCTGAGCACAGGATGACAATCTGGATGAACTGACTGCAGTGATTAAGTTTTCAGGTGGATTTTCTCACTTAAAAACATATTAAAACTACTTTATTCCCACTGATCACAGCAAATATAGCTGCAAGGTGTATTTATTACAAAGTATTAATCAAACCTGGGAGCCGGCCGTGAGAGACACATCGCTGATGACACAGGGCTGTGATCACTCCTCTGAAATAGTTTATTGACGCATAAATTAACATAAAACCCTGAAACCTGCCGACAGAATATGTTCGCTTTTATTATCCTGCTGCCTGCAGTTTAGATTACCCAGAGGCTGCTGTTGAATTAAGTTTTCAGGTAGAAAACTAGAGCGGGAGCAAAACTGAGTATGTTTGTGCTTTATTCATACAAAGTAGGCTATTAATCAAACCCATCAAAGTCATCATCCTCTGTTTCTGAATTAAACAGCTGTGCTAATTCAGACATGCCAATTTCCCCTTCTGCGCTGTCAGAGTCACTTTCCGTGCCGGGCGGCTCATCTGAAATGATGCCGGCTTTTGCAAAAGCTTGAACAACAGAGCCAGCAGACACGTTAGTCCATCTACAATCCATCCGCAAACGGTGGCGTTCCTTTCTTTGTCTTGCAGCTATATTTGCTGTGATCAGTGGGAATAAAGTAGTTTTAATATGTTTTTAAGTGGGAAAATCCACCTGAAAACTGCATAATAAAGGCGAACATATTCTGTCGGCAGGTTAAGTTAATTTAGGCGTCAATAAACTGTTTCAGTGGAGCGATCATAGCGCTCTGTATCATCAGCGATGTATCTGTCTCGCTCTCAGCTCCCAGATCAGCTTCTCTGATTGGTTATTGCGGCAAGTCCAGCAGCAAAACTTCAATTTTTACATCTCGAGCAGCAGCAGCGCGGGGCGGCACGTCGAGCACGTCAGATGCTTAAACGCTCCCGACGTGCTGCGCCTGCTGCTCAAAACGCGCTGCGGGACCTTTTGCTGCGCCTATACGCGCGTCAACCATTGACTTTGCATGTAAACTCGCTGCGTTAGCTCTACCAAATTATCAAAAACCGTTCATCCAAACAGTTAACAGTAAAGCAAGTTATATGATCTGTGTTGTTACAGTCTCATGGTGATAGGCTCAAACCTGTAGTGTCCTACTCTTAAGGGTTAAAGGGGACCCGTGGAAACAGTAGCTCCCCATATTCTTATTTTTTATCTTTATTATATTGTGTAGTTGGATGTGGGTACCGTATTTTCACGACCATAAGGCGCACCGTACTAAAAGGCGCACTCTCAGTTATGTGTCCCATTTCTGTATTTAACACACACATAAGGCGCACCGGACTATAGGGCGCGTTTTTTATATACAGGTACATGTCCTCTACTACCTTTAAATACCTCTACTGCGTATTTAAAAATACAGCGGGAGCAAAACTGAGTATGACTGTGCTTTATTCATGTATTTATTACAAAGTATTAATCAAACCTGGCTGCTGGCCGTGAGACAGACACATCGCAGATGACACAGCGCTGTGGTCACTCCTAAATTAACTTAAAATCCTGAAACCTGCCGACGGAATATGTTTGCTTTTATTGCTGGTATCCTGGTGCCTGCAGTTTAAATTATTTAGATGAAAAACACCTGCCAGCAGCCGCGGTGAGGCTGGAGGCTGCCCAGCCTAGAGGCTGCTGATGAAGGGATTTCTGCTGTCGGTGCACCGCTGGTATGTGGAGGTCTAAGCGCCTCAGACAGAAGTAGATAATCTGGATGAACTGACTGCAATTATTAAGTTTTCAGGTGGACTTTCTCACTTAAAAACATATTAAAACTACTTTATTCCCACTGATCACAGCAAATATAGCTGCAAGATTTAGATTATTTAGATGAAAAAACACCTGCCAGCCACCGCGCTGAAGAGGAGGAGACGCGCCCAGAGGCTGCTGTTGAATTAAGTTTTCAGGTAGAAAAATACAGCGGGAGCAAACCTGAGTATGATTGTGCTTTATTCATGTATTTATTACAAAGTATTAATCAAACCCATCAAAGTCATCATCCTCTGTTATCCTCAGCATTCCTCTGAATAAAACAGCTGCGCTAAATCAGACATGCCAGTTTCCCCTTCTTCGCTGTCAGAGTCACTTTCCGTGCAGCGCGGCTCCTCAGAAATAATGCCGGCTTTTGCGAAAGCTTGAACAACAGAGCCAGCAGACACGTTAGTCCAAGCATCTACAATCCATCCACTAACGGTGGCGTAACTTGCCCGGCGCTGCCTTCCACTTATCCTGAAACTGTGGTCTCCGTCTGTCATCCATCGCTCCCACGCCGCTCGCAGCCTTACTTTGAACGGCCGCTTCACACCGATGTCGAGCGGTTGAAGTTCCTTTGTCAGACCTCCCGGGATAACGGCGAGCACAGCGTTTATTTTTTCACCATGTTTTTCACATCGGCTGTAAGATGGGCACGCATGGAGTCACATATTAAAAGCGATGGTGATGCATGGAAAAAACCACCTGGTCTCCTCACATACACCTGCCTCAGCCACGCTTTCATAATCTCCTCATCCATCCAGCCTTTTTCATTTTCCTCAATATCATATGTCATCAGAGCGCTGTCTGTCTCGCTGTCAGCTCCCAGATCAGCTTCTCTGATTGGTTGATGCGGCGCTTCCAGCAGCAAAACTTCAATTTTTCCATCTCAAGCAGCAGCAGCGGGTTGGCGGCGCGTCAGAACGCTCCCGATGCGCTGCGCCTGCTGCTCAAAACGCGCTGCGGGACCTTTTGCTGCGCCTATACGCGCGTCAACCATTGACTTTGCATGTAAACTCGCTGCTTCTGCTGCACCTGCTGGGTCCGGTTCACACCGATGTCGAGCGGTTGAACAGCGAGGACAGCGTTAATTTGTTTCACCATGTTTTTCACATCAGCTGTGAGATGGGCACGCATGGAGTCACATATTAACAGCGATGGTGATGAGTGGAAAAAAAACACCTGGTCTCCTTACATTCAGCCACTCTTTCATCATCTCCTCAATGAGGCGGTCTCAAAAGTCTGCAGTAACAACACACATAGGGCGCACCGCACCATAGGGCGCACCGCACATTTTGAGGGGAAAAAAAGACGTTTATATGCGCCTTATAGTCGTGAAAATACGGTAAGTAGAACATTTTAGACTTTGAACGTCATCAGATGTTTCTGGATGCATGCCTGGTTTTTAAAGTTTTAAATGGACTTGCTCCTCCTCCTCTAACAGATTTTATAAGCAAAAAAACATTACTAGAATAAACACTAGAGCTTTAACCAGAGGAGACTGTAATGTTCAGCGGCATGGGACCAAATTCGGCCAAATGGTTGCATCCATCAGAGGAGCACAGTTATGGAACATACTGCCAGCTCATGTTAGGGGCTGTGGAACCTACATACGTTTTAAATTCTCCTTGAAACATTGGTTGAAAACTAACCAGACATGTGTTCACAGGTAAATTGATCTGTTTCCATGGGCCTGTTAACCTCATTTTATTGTTAACCTCATTTTGTTGTGATTTTATGTTATTGGCATCTTATCTGTTTGTGTCCACTCTGTTTTCTCCTGTAGCATCTTGTTTAATGCTAACTGTTTTTACCTGCCTTAGGACAGCGGATGCAAATTAGCTGTTAGCTGTGTAGCTGTACATTGATGCTTTATGCTGACATGTTGATGAATGTGCATTGTCCTAATTCAAATAAATAAATAAAAAAAAGAAAGAAAAAACGCTATACTGCACCGATAGGAACAAAGAACTAAGCGGTAAGACTCAGGGTGGTGGGCTATATGTTTACATCAACAACAGCTGGTGCAAGAACGCTAGATCGGTCACCAGCTTCTGCTCTCCATACATTGAGTTTCTGACTGTTAACTTCAGGCTGTTCTATCTGCCCAAAGATTTCACTGTGTCAGCATTACTGCTACATTCGTGCCCCCCAGTGCTACCAATAAAGAGGCCATAAAGGCTCTATACCTCTGAGCTCCAGTCTGCATACAAAGAAGTTCTGTATCACTGAACAATACTATAGAGGGCAGCCATTGCATTTATTTCCCTTAACAACTTTATAATTTGTTAATGGGGTTCCTAATTCCCTAGCCTGGGTGCCATTCTGAACTTAGTCCCGCCCACAAGGTTTGAGTTCGGGGAAGTTCGGTCTGGCTCTGCTCCATAGTAGCGTGAGTATTATCGCCCACTCTCTGGCGATCCAATCAAATTGTCAGGGCGGGCTTTATACGATGATGGACAGATGATCAACAGTAACGTAATCAACCACGTCACCAAAGCGCGCTTGGGTGACAACAACAATGGCTGCCGCTGGAGAGTTTGGGTGAGTAGATTCTGCTATTAGGTCTGTTCTAGAAGATATCGACAGCAAATTTTAAAAGAGGAACAGAGAAACGCGATCAAGGCTCATCTTCTTATTCTAGGCGTGCAACTGCACGCTTTGATTTTTGTTGACAACAACTATGCGTGGCTTAACATACGTCACGCACTCCGTTGCTCTTATTGGTTGTAGGTCTATCCAATTGAGTGCAGAGGCATTTTTTTCCTGGTTCGTTGGAAACACGCCCCATAATCACAGCTCTATGGAGCAGCATCAGACTCATTCTGACTAGAATTGAGTAGGACTACGTCAGGCTAATAGAATACTCTAGGGGATTATTTTATGGCACTAGCATCTACTGAGATGCCTATAGGTTCTTATTCAGTAATATGCATTGCTCTTCTGGAAAACAATATTTTGGATCTAATGTGCTAAATATTGAGTTAGGATTGGGAATGGAATATAACATGCAAATTATAAAATACATTTTTGTTAAAGAAAAAGGTTTTTTTTAAGTTTAAAAAGAAGGTTGTACTAATTTTAATGTAACCTTTTGGGTTTAAAATTTGTCAAGATAAGCTTATTTATTATTAACAAAAAATAAGGTTGACACATAAAGATACTGATAAGATAAAACACTGACCTCTTCTGATGGGCTTCATCCGGGGTTTCAGTCCGACTGTTATAAAAAAAAAGAACTGATTAAAAGTGTTAAAAGCACAGAATTCATTGTAAATAACTGGGTACCTTTCATGGTTAACATGACCATATGACACTAGGAACACACAGTGTATATATATTTACACTGCTCAAAAAATTAAAGGAACACTTTGAAAACCATTGCCATGGCACCGCTACAATGCAGCCACCTCGGTTCATCAGATCACTGAAACCATATATACATGTTTTAAGCTAAAAGAAGTAAAGAGCTAAGTTAGCTGCAGCAAAACTTATTGTTCATACAGTGAGGAGAACACATATTTGATACACTGTTGATTTTTCAGGTTTTCTTGCAAAGCTTGTAGAAGACTGTAATTTTTATCATAGGTACTCTTCAACTGTGAGTGATGGAATCTAAAACAAAAATCCAGAAAAATACAATGTATGATTTTTAAATAATTAATTTCCACTTCATTGTGTGAAATAAGTATTTGATCATCTATCAACCAGTAAGAATTTTGGCTCTCACAGACATGTTAGTTCTTCTTTAAGAAGCCCTCCTGTTCTCCACTCATTACCTGTATTAACTGCACCTGTTTGAACTGGTTACCTGTATAAAAGACACCTGCCCACACACTCAATCAATCACACCCCAGCATCTCCACAATGCCCAAGACCAGAGAGCTGTGTAAGGACATCAGGGACCTGCAGAAGGCTGGGATGGGCTACAGGACAATAGGCAAGCAGCTTGGTGAGAAGGCAACAACAGTTGGTGCAATTATTAGAAAATGGAAGAAATACAAAATAATGGAAAATCTCCCTCGGTCTGGGGCGCCGTGCAAGATCTCACCTCTTGGAGCATCTCTTGATCTTGAGGAAGGTGAGGAATGAACCTAGAACTACACGGCAGGACCTGGTCAATGACCTGAATAGAGCTGGGACCACAGTCTCAAAGAAAACAATCAGTAACACTCTACGGCGTCAAGGATTAAAATCCTGCAGTGTGCGCAAGGTGCCCTTCCTCAAGCCAACGCATGTCAAAGTCTGTCTGATGTTTGCAAATGACCATCTGAATGATCCAGAGGAGGAATGAGAGAAGGTCATGTGGTCTGATGAGACAAAAATAGAATTTTTTGGTTTAAACTCCACTCGTCATGTTTGGAGGAATAAGAATGATGAGTACAACCCCAAGAACAAGAACCCCATCCCAACCGTGAAGCATGGCGGTGGAAACATCATTCTTTTGGGATGCTTTTCTGCAAAGGGGACAGGACGACTGCACCATATTGTGGGAAGGATGAGGCCATGTATCGTGAGATTTTGGCCAACAACCTCCTTCCCTCAGTAAGAGCACTTAAGATGGGTCGTGGCTGGGTCTTCCAGCATGATAACCACCCAAAACACACATCAGGGCAACTAAAGAGTGGCTCTGTAGGAAACATCTTAAGGTCCTGGAGTGGCCTAGCCAGTCTCCAGACCTGAATCAAATAGAAAATCTTTGGAGGGAGCTTAAAGTTTGTGTGGCCCAGCGACAGCCCCGAAACCTGAAGGCTCTGGAGGAGATCTGTATGGAGGAGTGGGCCAAAATCCCTGCTGCAGTGTGTGCAAACCTGGTCAAGAACTACAGGAAACATCTGATGTCTGTAATTGCAAACAAAGGTTTCTGTACCAAATATTAAGTTTCATTGTTCTGGTGTATCAAATACCTATTTCACACAATAAAATGGAAATAAATTATTTAAAAATCATACATTGTATTTTTCTGGATTTTTGTTTTAGATTCCATCACTCACAGTTGAAGAGTACCTATGATAAAAATTACAGTCTTCTAAAAGCTTTGCAAGTGGGAAAACCTGAAAAATCAACAGTGTATCAAATACTTGTTCTCCCCACTGTATGTATCAGGGCAGATTTAAAGAACAGAGTATAGAAAACAACAGGTGCAGATGTGAAGGCTGAGAAGGACCTTGCTCCGACAAACAGAGAAGAAGCTGATTAATAGTGGATCAGAAAGGCAGGAAGCAACTCCATATTTGGAGATAGGAAGTAGGGACATACGATCATTCTGTGGGACTTTCTGTGTGAAACTGTAAGATGTTCCCCTATGAAGATAATAAAAAGAGCCGGTGTTGCAGGGGCGGGGTCAGAGTTGCTGTTCACAGATGCATGCTGCTGATGCTCCTCTCCCTTTGCAAAGGCGAATCGAAGCTTTGTTGTCCAGAATTTTTTTATAACACTCCATCTCAGTTAAGTTACCTGCACTCGAATTAACGGACCCGGGGGAAAAACCATGAAGGTGTTTTTCAACATCACCTATCTGTCATGCTTATCCCTGCATATAAGCCCCAGCTCAGAGTCTGGCCAGAGAGCGCCATGGAAACACCCCAAGACTGTTTTGAATGCTCTGACTGGAACATCTTCAAGGCTGCAGCAACATACACTCACCGGCCACTTTATTAGGTACACCTGTCCAACTGCTCGTTAACACTTAATTCCTAAGCAGCCAATCACATGGCGGCAACTCAGTGCATTTAGGCATGTAGACATGGTCAAGACAATCTCCTGCAGTTCAAAGCGAGCATCAGTATGGGGAAGAAAGGTGATTTGAGTGACTTTGAACGTGGCATGATTGTTGGTGCCAGAAGGGCTGGTCTGAGTATTTCAGAAACTGCTGATCTACTGGGATTTTCACGCACAACCATCTCTAGGGTTTACAGAGAATGGTCCGAAAAAGAAAAAACATCCAGTGAGCGGCAGTTCTGTGGGCGGAAATGCCTTGTTGATGCCAGAGGTCAGAGGAGAATGGCCAGACTGGTTGGAGCTGATAGAAGGGCAACAGTGACTCAAATAACCACCCGTTACAACCAAGGTGGGCAGAAGAGCATCTCTGAACGCACAGTACGTGGAACTTTGAGGCAGATGGGCTACAGCAGCAGAAGACCACACCGGGTGCCACTCCTTTCAGCTAAGAACAGGAAACTGAGGCTACAATTTGCACAAGCTCATGGAAATTGGACAATAGAAGATTGGAAAAACGTTGCCTGGTCTGATGAGTCTCGATTTCTGCTGCGACATTCGGATGGTAGGGTCAGAATTTGGCGTCTACAACATGAAAGCATGGATCCATCCTGCCTTGTATCAACGGTTCAGGCTGGTGGTGGTGGTGTCCTGGTGTGGGGAATATTTTCTTGGCACTCTTTGGGCCCCTTGGTACCAATTGAGCATCGTTGCAACGCCACAGCCTACCTGAGTATTGTTGCTGACCATGTCCATCCCTTTATGACCACAATGTACCCAACTTCTGATGGCTACTTTCAGCAGGATAATGCGGCATGTCATAAAGCTGGAATCATCTCAGACTGGTTTCTTGAACATGACAATGAGTTCACTGTACTCAAATGGCCTCCACAGTCACCAGATCTCAATCCAATAGAGCATCTTTGGGATCCTGAAACAGGAGAAGACCAAGGAGATCATGGTGGACTTCAGGAAAAACTGGCCTAACCAGGCTCCACTGGTCATTCCTTGGGGTGCACATCACAGACACCCTCACCTGGAATGTAAACACCACCTCACTGATCAAAAGGGCACAAAAACGCTTGTACCTCTTGCGGAGGATGAGGAGAGCCCACCTGCCCAACGAGATTTCTTTTTGTTTTACACTTGTGTAAACACCTCAGAGCGAGCAGCCATCTATCATCACCAACTGGGGGTTTAAGAAAATATGCAACACTAAAAGGAAGCACTTATGTAGGAGTAGTTTCTGTGTCAAAGAAGAGCAAAAGTTAATATCAGAAGAAAGAGAACAATAAGTTGTTGGAAACATGATATTGTTAGGAATACAGTTTCTGTTGCCTTTTTGTGCGTTTCCTTTTTCCACAACCAGGAGGTGCCCTGTCTTCGCTGTCCCTCCCTGCACAGCTGCGGCTCATTGGATCATTATCTGGAGGAGTATTTGAGCAGTGGGCTGTCACTACCTCGACACCAGAGTGTTTGCCAGTTTTGGGTACTCTAGCCAAGTTCAGTTTAGCTGAGTCCAACCTAGCTTTGTTTCTCTGAGTCTTATGAGTTTTTTTGTCTTTACTCCCCGGCAGGAAGCTTTCCTGTGTTACTGAATACCTGGACCTTCTCCCCCCTGGAAGGATAGAACCAAGTTACACTGAGCAGGGGAAAACCTCCACATATTCCGTGCAAATACCCATCGGAAATCCGAGTGATAATCCGCTCCATTACTCCTCCAACGCTTGCCTACCTGTCCGCCCTCCAACTTGTTCACTATTCTCTGGATTTTTCACACAGACTGGATTCAAGACCTAATAAGGCCTCTCTCTGAGTGGTTTCTCTGAATGTAGGTCAGATTTGTTAAATCAATTATGACGGAACACTCTGGCCAAACCGTAGACTCAGCAGAGGCCATTCAGAAAGCCATAAACCAGCAACAAACAGCTCTTACGAGACATAACAACACTCTGGTTGAATTAGTCAACCAGCAATCTGAGTTAGAACGTCAAGTGACTGATTTAACGAGGCTGTCTGCTTCTCTCTCCAGCTAGCCCCATCCTGAGCTAACCAAACAGGCCTCTCTCCCCCTTTCTCTGAGTGTCAGCTGCCGATTCCGCCCAGGTTCGACAGCAAGCCCAAGAAGTGCCGAGGTTCATGCAATGTACACTCACCGGCCACTTTATTAGGTACACCTGTCCGACTGCTCGTTAACACTTAATTTCTAAGCAGCCAGTCACATGGCGGCAACTCAGTGCATTTAGGCATGTAGACATGATCAAGACAATCTCCTGCAGTTCAAACCGAGCATCAGTATGGGGAAGAAAGGTGATTTGAGTGACTTTGAACGTGGCATGATTGTTGGTGCCAGAAGGGCTGGTCTGAGTATTTCAGAAACTGCTGATCTACTGGGATTTTCACGCACAACCATCTCTAGGGTTTACAGAGAATGGTCCGAAAAAGAAAAAACATCCAGTGAGCGGCAGTTCTGTGGGCGGAAATGTCTTGTTGATGCCAGAG